CTCTTCCTACTTAAATATTTGAATGATAAATAAAAGTAACACAATAAAGGAGGTAACTAACCGTATTTCTAAAGCTTAAACTGCCTACACAAGACTGAAACATCTTTGTCACCGATGTGACGTTTCCTTGATTCGGAAAGCTCGTGTATACTGCTGCACTATGCGGTTAGTCCTACTCTACGTTTGTAGGACCCTAACCCTGTGTATGAGAGACATTTGTCTTCTGAAGATCCTCAGCGGTCTGTGTTTACGAAGTTTGGCTCAGGTCGGATGGAATGAGTGGATAATTAAAGGTGAAATATATATAATATATATAAACCGGCCAGTATTTGGGAATAATTCAGTGTTGAATTCACTATAACATCAAATTCAGATTGGTAGATGTTGCGGATTGCGATACGTATTGCGCGTATCCCGTTGTCGTCTGCCAGACAGCGTCTTACTTGCTGCTGCTGCTCCAGTTTGGAGGAGATCAGCAAACGAAGTGGAGAAGAGGCGTAAAGGAATGTGCATGAGTACAAAAGACTGATTGATCGGTTGGAGAAAGATATGACAACGAACTGACTTCAATGGTGCTCCTGTTGTCACCTCTCATCAGGCCAGAATGCTTGAAGTGTGTATGCATAGGATCTCACTAGTTGAACTGAAGTATGCTGCCTACTAGACCACCAGACAACTGATCAGAGCCTTGTTTTCATGTGCCTTAGATACGATCGGGCATAACATATATTTGCACGATTGTGGCGGACATCACACCTTGACAACAGAACAGCCAAATGGTCGATTTGGATGACAAGTTGTATTCAAGCCCGCTTATCTCAGTCAGAGTGACCCCAATGATAAAAGTTTATAACTTTGCCAGCTGGAATGCTTTGGATGTCCTAACGGCTTTCTGTGTGAACATGACACTTTTCGCTGACAATTTAAATAAAATATTGGATGAAACTGACACCGGTGATCAAGTTCAACCAATTGCAGTCACTTGCATGAGGGGTTCCGTTACATTTTCTACGGTGCACATTGATTTTTTTATTGCCAGTCCGTTGGCGGCTTGGTTACTTCGGAATATGCATTTGTCCTCGAAATTATCGGCTACTGATTTTTTTCATGCTGATCAAGAAGTTCCACGTTGGACAAATTTATGGGCGTTTTAATAAATTTAGCTTGAGGTTTTCTCAGGTTTCGAAAAAAAGGTATCTTCGAGTTCTATTGGTGGATCAAAGGGCAAGTTTCGACGAGAAATCCCTTCCCTCTGAATGAGATGCGGCATGTATGCGTTTCAGGTTAAGCTCCGATAGTATTCCGTTCAAATCACGCTGTTTGACTGAAGATCACCAAACAAGAACTTAATTACTTAGTAACATAGCGTTGTAGCACCAATGTGAGTTCCGTTCCGTAATTTTTTTCACGTTTGAGTCCGAGAAGCCATAACAATTCACAAGCTACACCGTACAGTACGCTTATTCATTGATGCCATACCCGAAACCAGATTGTACTGGTATTTTGAAATAACCCGTCGAGATCCGGTTTATGACTAGACGAATGCTCGCACATCTGTCACAATCCGTATTTTTGTCAGTCCCTGCGCGTGCACTGTTGCGTGAGTGACATGGACGCAACACTGTGCCATGCGAGCGCGCACACACACACACCTGCGCATAAAAAATACTCAACAATCCATGCTTTTTTGAATCATCGGCCAAGTTACTCATGTAACCCCGCGTCCGAAATTGAGCTCGTAGCGGTCTGTGCAATCGATCCGCACGTGTTGCTTCGATGTGGTTGCGTGCGTGGTAGAACCGCGACCACCAGGACAGTGTGCATAAATTATACGTGAACCATGTAAGACGTTGAAGTAAAGACATTATTGTACCCTAGTTTGTGCATGTTGAGAGACGTGCAGGGCGTAGAGGAAGCCCCTGTAGGAGGTGAGGAAGGGGA